GAAGGAAGGAAGGAAGGAAGGAAGGAAGGAAGGAAGGAAGGAAGGAAGGAAGGAAGGAAGGAAGGAAGGAAGGAAGGAAGGAAGGAAGGAAGGAATAGTGTGTGTGACAACCTGGACTCTACAGAATGACCTGATCTTCTGTCCCCACAAAATCAATAACGTTTCCAGCTGTATTTTGGCTTAGCAATAGTAAATAATGGGTTTGCATCGCCTTTCTGTTGCCACAAACTTGAGAAAAAGCCCCAGTCTAAAATGTCTTTAGGGGGCTGGATTGCCCCCAAAGCAAGGAGGATCGTAGGGAGAGTCCTAAAACAAAGGCTCCCGGCACCTTCATCACGAGCAATGCGAGGGAGGAACATCCAGACCGGCTCCCTTCTCTCCATCCCCGGCATCCTGCTGCAGCGGGAGGCCTGGGAGTCACCCGGACACCCAACAACAGCTCGTGAGTGTTAACCTGCCTCCGGTCGCACGCCCACGTAAATCACAAGTAACTCCCCTAAAGTCAAGCAGCTCCATAAGCATAAAATCGGCATGCCTAGAATCAGCATGTGTATTTACAGCTGGGTAATACTGTAAAGATGCTAGAAACTGCTGGAACAGGTCAGAAATCTTGACTTTTTTTTTTACAACCAGTAAAAATAAAACCGTACTTTCCTGCAGGTTTAATAGGAGRAGGGAAGCAAGAGGCCTGAACGCAGATTTTTGCACCTTGGTAGGTGTGAGCAGCACTTCCAGGAGCAGAGCTTTGGGCAAAAAATAACCCCTTATTTCCCCAATTTGAATTTGAGCCATTGCCAGGAGCTACAGATTACTGAGAAAGGGAATGATTTCTGCAAAATTCAGCAGCAGGATTCTTGAAGAACTTCTAATATTATTGAAATTCAGAACATTGAAAGTTCTTCAAGAATCCTGGCTCCTGAATCGCTCCGGATGAATCAGCTTCTCAGCAACCAACCTGTAGCTCCCGGCACCTGCTCAAATTCCATCTGGAAGGTGAATGGCAGAGCTTGGAGAGCTTGAATTTGAATTCGAGAAACGGAGAGAACAAATCGTCCAAATTTTTGCAGTATGTTACTGAAACTTTCCTGTTTCAATTGCAGCAAACCATCCAATGTAGGAATTATTGCATAAAACATGTAAGGACAGAGCTCTGCAGCGATTATCGATGAGAAGCACGAGGCACTGACCCCTGTTCCCAGCACCAGCGCCCAGGAAGATGCCCACAGGTAGGAAGGCCCTTCAGGAGGCACGAGGATAAYCACGCGTTGGCTCCTGGACTGCAGTTTTTACCAGCTATTCTCTGGTCAATTTGTGAGGCCAAGCTTTCCAACCACATTCTTATTTTATTCCCTTTTGTTCTGTCAGAGTAAAGGAGTTTCAGTTGATGCAGTTTTTGCCTCTTGAGCCAACAAATACAAGACGTACAACATTGAAAAAGTGCCCTTGTCATGCACAGCCAGGGCCCAGGAACGGCAGAACGACAGATTTAGGTATAAACTTCCATTTCCCCAATGTTTCCTCAAAACAACAAAGATTAGCATAGAAATATTTAAAATATGGAATGAATTAAACCAACAAATCACAGGGGTGGGAAGAACATTCAGCAAACACTAGTTTTACAAGGAGAGAATAAAATCAAAAAAGACCGTAAAGCTCCCGCATTAATATTTGCCTTTAGCTCTGAAAAACGTGACTTTGGCCATCGCTCTACCGTGCGGAACACACTGCGGAACGACTCCGTTTGGGATAGTTTGGGATAAAGGCAAGAGGGAATGAGTGCGCCCTTACCTCAGCAGCGCGTCGCTCCCGTCACTCCGGACACAGCGGAGCTGCCGGCTTTGGAACCCGATGTCCGCCTGGGCCAGGCCGCCTCGCGGGTAGGGGTGCAGCGCGGCCGTGCCCGGCTCACCGGCCTCCATGCCCGGCTCCAGCGCGGTGCCTCCCACGGGGCCGAGGTGCGTGCGGTGCGGCGGGCGGCAGGCGCCCCAGGAGCCCACGCGGAGGCTGTAGGTGAAGCYCCGCTCCGGGGGCGCGCAGGCGCTGGGGACGCAGCTCCTGGTTTCCGTGAGGTTGGGGCACTGCGCGCCCCCATAGAGCGGGGGCGAGAGGAGGGCGCGCGTGCGGTGCTGCGAGCGGCGCTGGCAGCCGCACGCCGACCAGCCGGAGAACTCGGAGAGCACGCAGTCGCGCGGGCACGGCAGCAGGCAGGCCTGCTCCGTCGGCGGCGCCGGCGCCAGRTGCTCGCAGATGTCGCGGGCGGCCAGCGTCCCGTTGGGCTTCTGCACGCAGCGGGCGCTGCGGCGCTGCAGCCCGTGCTGGGCCGTGACGCAGGCGGCGGCGGGCGCGGGCCGGGCGCCGGACACCAGCGTGCACGCGTCCCACTCGGAAAGCTGCCAGGCGAAGAGGTGCGGGTGCCAGTCGCAGAGGCGGAAGCAGCCGCGCTGCTCGTCGGGCCGCTCGCGGGGCTCACAGTGCGCGGGCCGCGTGGCCCAGCCGTCGGCGTGCGCGCACCACACGGCCCGGCTCCGCACGCCGCCGGCCCCGCACGCGCCCACGCAGCGGCCCCAGGGACCTGCGGGAGAGAGAGCGCAGAGCCATGGTCACATCCCCGCACGGAGCACCGGCGCTCTGTCCCAGCACCGCCACCACGCTCCTAATCAACATATTCCCGCATAGTTTTAAAAGGAAATTATTATCAGCTGCTCCCGAGGACTGGCCACTCTCTGAGACTGGGAGGAAAAGATCCTGCATTTTCCGATGTCCCAAATCATCAGCAGGCCGGTGACATTCCCAGGGCAGTGAAACGCATCTCAAAGCCTGAGGAAACAGCAATATTTAATTTCACTTGCACAAATGAATATAAAAGCGATCATAAAGGAACAATAATCTAATAGGAAAAGCAAGTCAAGTTAGATAAGAGGAAAACATCCTTAATAGAGCAATTAGTCAATGGAATAAACCGCACGGGGAAGCAGCTGAATCATCATCTGAGGTGATAAAACAGTACCGATAAATAGTACGGCAATAAGAGCTCACGCTTAATAGGAGCTTGAAATGGAGGAGCTGACTTGATATTATAGTGTATACACCACAGCAATGCGTCCCGCGGGGCTGCTTCGTGAGCAGAGCACCTAATAGCCAAAAAGGCCCCTAATAGCCCAAAAGGCCCCTCGTGCGCATCGGGTGCCACGTTACTCGGGAAGTGCACRGATCGAGGGGTTTCCATCTGCACCRCTGGAGGCTCCAGTATCTGGGAACGGAACAAAGAGCAAAATTAAACCCAACAGTTGTGGTTTATTTTGTTTCGGAGGACACACATCTATGCCTGTAATGGAAATTGCAAGTGAATTTAAATCTGACAAKGCAAATAAAAGGATTTTATTTCCATTTTTCTAAAAATGTTTCAAGGCCGCAAAAGATCCTAGGTGCTATAAAATGCAAAAGTGCCTGCAAAGTAAAAAGGAAGGGTAGAGAAAAGCACTCAGACCGATTCTTAACATACTGAAGGGATTTGGGTGATCATGTCTCACCTTGCTCCCAAGCTTAAAAATTACCCACGTCCTCCTAACAGAGCCATTTCCCTTGTTAAGAGCACTGCATTGTATAATACTTACTTGAAAATGCACTAAAGATACTATTATCTTTATTTTTTCCAAGCCAGAATGTGCACTTTCTGCACTTTGATGCCTACATTCCACTGCGCTTTTAATAAAATGGAATTATATTATTATTTGCATTCTGCTGCTTCTTTTAATCGACTTCAGATTTATTGCAAAGAAAGTGTAAATTTAACATGGTTCCTCTAAAAAAATAATTAAATACTAATTACAAAGCAGACTATTGACTRGAAGTATTTACATCCTTATACTCAGTTAAGCTACTGAACAGGAAATTGAGCTAAGCAATGAAATCTTGTTTATTGCTGTGTCCAGAAGAACTTATCAGGAAGTGGAAAAAAAAATCTATAGTAATAGGAATCTGCATCTGATTTTCAGCCTTATATTTTTTGCTTATGTTTTGGCATGTCAAGAACAGACTAACAGGCTGCATTTTAGGCATGTTTGACACAGAATAATTGCAAACTGGTTGTGTTTAATGATAGTATAATTACTTATGAGGCTTGCTTGCTTACTTTTTTTTTCCATTCTATATTTGCATTTAACATCAAATTATAGTCAATTCTTGCTCAGGCTTCTTCTCCATCTCTCTGTATCCTGTTACTATAGGGATTTACCAATCTGCAGCCTTTGGAGCCATAMGCATATGTGCTCATATTTAATGAGCAAAACCCCCAAAGGCATGAAAATTACCAAAAATGGGAGTCCCATGTAATAGTGAGAAACAATGACAGGTTTAGTAAGAGTAATTTGTCCAGTTGTCTCCTACGACTGCTCTGCATTACTMTGCAGGATTTTTTTAAGCTGTGTTGATTGGAGGAATATGGATATAAAATCCTGCTGTCCTAAGAAATAATGTGTTGGGAAGGAGTTATCAAGATGATGGATGCTCTTTAAAGCAGGACAAGGTGGGAGAAAGATARTCAGCAGATGTAGGCTGAAACAGGGGAGCTTCCCACTGGATATAAGCAAAGAACATAGTACAAGTGCATACATTGTAAATATATAAGAAAAAGTAAACTGTGGAACGGGCTGCCCTGAAGGAACGTAACGACTCCATCCGTGGTGGTTTTCAACATCGGACTCGACACAGCCTTGAATTCATCGACGACCCTGCGCTCCGAGCAGGAGCTTCAACGAGACCTGCAGAAGGTCCAGCCTACATTATTCTAGTATCCCATGGATGAGCATCTAACAAAATAAGGGTTTGCTGCATAGGACTGCTCCTTGTAATGAAAATGTATTTTTACAAGGAAAGACTATGAGATACCACTGAGATGTGAAAAGCACCTAGGAACCTATTTGTGCAGCGGCACAAATAAATTACTCAGTCAACCAACCCAGAGAAAGGAATTCAATCAAATCACTATTCCTAGAAATGAGAAAGCTGAACAAAGGATCACTGCRAACGAAGACATCCCACTGCCTCCTACAAGACATCCGTAACACTACAGGGCAATGATGACATAAAAGAAATTAATAAATTAAGTCACTGTAACAAAGAACTACACAGTGTTTTGTCTTCTTTTATCTGACAGAAAGAATCCTGTATTATCCATCTGTACCGTTTCCCAAAGCCAGTTACCACCAAGCAATTGTCATGGATTTGACGCAGCGGGCACTGTCCTGCCATTCCCGCCTCCAAGACCCACAATTATGCAATAATTATGTCTGAATGGATATAATGACATCTGGCCTTTGCCACACAAGCCACAGAAGCATTAGACAAGCAGGTTACTCATTAAGCACAGCAGATTACACACCACAGATAACCCAGAACACCATGAATATCAAACCTAGCATGTGCATCCCAATGACAGTTCCGTAATAAGCACACTATTACTTTACAAGGATTGCTACTACACTAATGCTTTACTAGCTTATTCCTACATTTTAATGTCTATTTTTTTAAACTTTTCAGTTTTCATTTTAGTTTTTTTTCATTTACATTTAGCTTAACTGAAGTATTTTTACCACACGAGAATTGATTCAAAGTGAGTATCTCTGACAACTACTCTGTACCTGTGACCACGTAGGGATTTGCAACCTTGGTACAAGAATAGCTAGCAGTTAAATAGAGGATTATGCTAGTCATCTATTTCATACAGGTAATAGTATAGGTCCAATAGGCCCAAGTAACATATAATATTAATGAAAGGACACTGAAAAATTAATGGACAATTACTCAAACACGGATTTTCTAGATTTTTTTTTTCCTTCTCCTTCAGTTAAGGTAGCAAGAGAGACATCAAACTTATAAGCAGTTCTTCTAGCACCCGAGACACAACAAATCCCCAAATATCCTAGCAATAAAACACGACTTGCTGAAAAAAGACTTCACCAGATGCAGCCTTAACTCCTGAAGATCACCATGGTCCATCTTAACTAAATACCTGCGCTTRAAATCCCACACAGCCACTTTGGACGTTGTTCTAGCATCTTCCTCTCCAAAAGGAAAGCCCAAACTTCCTTGATGATTTCTGGGAACAAATAAGAACCCATTCAAACAGCACAAGAGCTTTATTCTTAATGGTATTGCAACCTATTTATTCTAATTACAAGTTTCAATGGCAAAAAAATAAATTCCACTGAATTGCTTTCCTCAGAACTGTTTATTAGCAGTGCTCTATCTAATGTGAACAGCATGAGAAAAGTATGCAAAACAGCATCTATATTAATTTTTATGAGTTTTGGACTTTCCTAGCAGCAAGCAAACTGTTGACTAACACATTTTCATATTTTCRTATTTCTCATCGCTAAATTCATTTTTGGCACAATGCGAAGACGTTGGACATAAAAAGCAAAATCTTTCTAACGATTTGGACAAAACCCTTCCAAGCTGAGCAAAGCCATCTGATTTCCACACCGTGCCCCCCGTGTCAGTGTATCGAGGTCAATCGCACGTTTTCCCAGTCTCAAATCTCTGGGGCAAGGAGCAGCCTTGCACTATATAGAGAGTCCACTATACCAGACCTAAAATATTTAGGCATTTTATATTACATAGCAATATCAGTATAAAAGAGGCTAGCACAACTGCTTTGTCTTCTGTTTTCTGGAAAAGCCTTACTGTATGTTTTCCCTATATCAAATCCCCATGTTATTTCATATCACAGCTTCTCTTCCTTACCCGTGTTTCTCTCAATTATTTTGCCACGTTTTACTAACACAAACTCAGTAAAACACCTTTGACTATAATTTGCATGAGATGTATAATATGCATGCCATACAAAATAAGAGTATATTGTACAATTTGCAATGTGTCACCACAGCACATGAAATTCCTCTGACTCCTGTTATTAATTTTAACTATTTGCTGCACTTTTTAAAACTTTCATGACCTCCATTAATGAGTAATTCAGAAGCCTAGTTATTCATCTTGCTTTAGAACTGAAGCAAAGTGAAGTTCACTGACTTATAGCCATGCAGCAGTTTGTTCCAATTCTGCGGTTCAAGGTTTTGCATCACCTTCCTCACGTGGTAACACTCCAGACACACTCCAGCAAGTGAGACACTGCAGTAAAACGTAATAAACACTGTTGTTTATGAAAAGCCAGTGATTTACTAACTCTTGGCACTTGAAGGCAGGACTTGTCAGTATTAAGTACTAATGTAAACTGCATTAACTTAGCTACTCAACCATGTGCCCACATTATGGAGACAGCCCAGGGAAAAATCTTTTTGCCTTTCAAGTTCAATTTAAAAAATCAGCAACCCAGACATCCCAAAACATTTCTGTATTGCCCACACAATGTATTTTGAGGTTAGCGTGTATATTGCACAAAGGATTAAAAACATATCAGTACTAGACTACAKGTAGTCAAATTTTGATCTCCTTCCAGTTCTAAACACTTGTAAAACCTGATTATTTTTTAGACATAATAGCTTTTGGAAGGTATTTGTAAGTCATAGAATCACAGAATCCTTCAGGTTGGAAGGGASCTCTAGAGATTGTCTA